ACTGACAGTCATACCCGTACAGAACTTTGGAAATTCTTAACCATAAGGTTGCTAAGAAACCACAGAACCTGCTAGAAAGGCAACTGACTCATACACCAATCACATTAGGACCTCTATGAGTATGCCATAATCAAAGTGCCTTGATTGAAATTACTGGTTTAAGTAATCAAAATCCAAACTGTGCAGTTCTCAGAATTTACTTCAGTGAGTCTGCTCTATCTCCCTTCTCATTCTTTTGGTTTTCTTCTCTTTTGTTGTCAGCTTTATTCTCAAATAGACATGTGAGACAATCAAAACAGTTTCAATGCTCATACCATACATACCATAATATGAAGTGAAAGAAATGGTTATTTTCAAGTTTGCCAGTAGAATCCATTAACAAACATCAACTTGCATATCAATGGTACAAGTTCCTGAATCAATTCCTTGCCAAGAGGATAATATTACCCTAGAATTGGGCCCATCCCTGAGGCTGTGGCTGAGGGTTGCCTTCCCTCTAGCACCTAAGCTATATGTTAGAGTGATTTGTATAAGAAAAATCAGGGCTGGGAAAAGAAGGGAAGATGAAGATTTTTCAGAAACTGGTAAAAGTCTGCTAGAAATAAATGTTTAGTTTTGTTCTAGTTCAGAATCAGGATAATATAGGAAACAATCTCTAACTGTGAAAAGGTTTAAAGTGGCTTTCAAAAATACATAAAATATGAAGAAAAAAGCAAAAAAACCCCATTGAAACAAGGCACAAGCCAGTTACACAAAATGCACTCAATATCCTGTCAACACCACTGAGCATCCTGTCAAAAAAGAGCGAAACAATCCGTAACTGTAGCATTCAGGCCTCTTCAGGTTCCCCGGGACAAGGATCCACATCAAACTGGCATAAAAACAAAAAAGGAACTATACAGGCTCACTTAATAGCCCATGCACGGATCTGGCTTTAAAAACAGCTATACAGACTCGGTGTCCTCTGGGTGTTTGCTGTATGTTGGTTCAACTTTCAAGGAGACTTTTATCAGTTGTTAAAGATGGTCACAAAAATTCTGGACATACGTTTCTGTGGCCAACAGCAGAGGAGTCTCACTGGGTTCTAGGACACAAGGCAAATCCAGTTAATGATTTTCTGACAGCTCCAGAAAACAGTCTTTGGTAGGATTCTAAATGGCCCTGTTGGTGTTGTTCCCATCTTTCGACTAATGAAGGTGGACAAAACACTGAGTCATTCTGACTGGCTAGCCTGGGTAATGTGCCCTTTCCTGTGTGCAAGGAAAGTAAGCCATGACTGATAATTCCACCAGGAAAGCACTGTTATTTAGGGGGAGCTTTTGAAAGAAAAAGACAGACAAAAAGAAAAAGTTCTTTTTTATAATATTGTAAGTTCATGTACATAAAATATAAACAAAGCAATAAGTCTATGACTTAGGAAAAAAAAAATGTTTCCTGTAGGACCTCAATAACATATCCATGTATTTTACACAGCTTTTTTCTAATACATTGCCGGTATAGACCAGTGGCATACTGCTGGTATGGCTTTCTTTTTAAGCGTGAGGCACCAGAAGAATATGATCCAAATATACAACTATTTATGATTTTATCCAAGGTTAAAATTCAGCACCTGCACGGGTATGAATGAAATGAATATATCCCTTGGACATTTTCGTCAGAACTCTTGTTTGTAGGGAACAAAAATCCATTCAAAGTACTTTAGCCAGTTTATGGAGATGTAAACTGGAGAACAAATAATATTTTGCTTCCACTGATGTCTTCAACCGTTCCATCTAGGTCAAATCCTTTCCACTGACCGATACATGTCAGGCTGGTCTCTTTCAGGTATAAAACATGCCAGCCCAATCAAATCAAAACTTTCTCACATCCATTGTTAAAAACAGCTTTATTGTGATTAAAATTAAATACAATTCAACTACTTCAAGTGTTCAAATCAATAGTTTTTAACACATTCAGAGTTACACAATCGTTACAATTTGGAAAACAATTTTATCACTGTCTTGGTTACTTTTGTTGCTGGGATGGAATAGCTGATGCCCAAAATTAAGGAAGGAAAGGTATATTTAGCTCACAGTTTGTGGAGGTTTCAGTCTATACTTGGCTGGCTCCAAGGCAGAGTGGCATATGGCAGAGGGCAACAGTTCATGGAGGTAGAAGACAGCAAAAGCAACAAGAGCAAGAAGTGAGGAGCAGCAGAGAGCAAATCTTTTTCCCTCCCTTATATTGTATGCAGGCCACCTCTCCTCCCAGAGAGGGTGTAGCACTCACATCCATAATCCCAGCATTGGACCATGTATCAATCACAAACTCTAGAAGCCCCCCCCATGACTGCATGAGGCTCTGGGGGGATATCTAGACACAAACCATGACAGCCACCCTCCAGAAAAACCTCATATACAATTTAAAGCTTTTCCCTTTTTTGGTTGAGACATCAGCTATTGCTGGGGAACAAAATATCACTCTTAGCATTTTTCCATGTTACTTAATGCCTCCTCCTCTATTGAGATGGGGAGCTAAGGGCCGGGGCAAATGCACAAAGATAATTTACTAAGCTGGTAGGGTAACCAACCTTCCACATTCCCACGATGTGAACCTTTCAATTCTAAAACTGGAAAAGCTCTAAGCAAACTGGGAGGCTGGTCACTGTAAAGAGCTGGTGCTATAGTTCACTCTTGCTTGATCAATTGCTAACCATCACATTCTGTACTTTGTTTTAGCCACTTTCCAAACGTCCCAGTCCCTGAATCCTGTTCTTCAGCTGTATGCTCTTCCACTACTAATACTTTTAATTAAATTTGATTACTGAGTTAAGGTGGTAACAACCAGATGGTCAACTGTAATTCAAGTTTCTACTTTTATTCAAATAGAGAAAGGCACAATGTTCCCTCAGAGGTACCCCGGAAAAAGTTTTTTCTTCCATTTCTGGCAGCTTCAAAGCCCCAAACACCTAGAGGTCACCTGGAGACTTTTGCTTCAGTTACAGCAAGCTGTGGCTACAGGCCCATCCCAAATGGTTCCACCCTGTGGCCACCCTGGATAACTCTACCCCTATGCACCACTGCAGGCATCCCCAACCTGGTCTATGAGGGCTCTTCCTCTACCCATACCCAAGCAAAACTCTGCTATTAGCTTGCAGAATATTCCACTTGTGTAACCCTCCTTTTTGTCTACATAAGCAGCCTTCCCCGTACCCTTCTAAGAGCTGTCTGTGAACTGCTTCCTCTTGTGCTGAAGCCTCTTTTGGTTAGTGTATCTTGCCTTTTTATGATCACTACCTCTAGTAGAGTAAGCTAAGCTGGTTATACCAAGAGCAGATAACCCTAAAGTCTGCTAATGCTAAAATAGACCAGCATCCAGGGCTGGTTACACTGAGGGCAGGTGGCAGCCAGAGAACGGTGAAAAGCAATGGAAAGTTGTTGGTAGCTGCTGGCTTTGGCTGCTAAGGAGTTCCAGAGAGCTGCTGGTATGTATAGTACTGGCTTCAGTTGTCAGGAAAGCAGCAAAAAACACTCCTAACACTAAGAGCTGAAAACTCCTGGCATGATTTAATCCTAATTGAGTAAAAGAACCCTCAGCTGATGGTAACATTATGACTAGAAAGTCATCTATAGGGTGATACTTTCATACTGTGTGAAAATTTAGTTCCCAATCAACATTTTACCTGAGTTACAGCAGCGATGATCTCTGACTGATTTTTCATTAGGATCTGAAAAGTGGTTATTCTCTAAATTGAAAGATAAGTAATGTTATAAACACTCATATAGCAAGTTTTTGTGTGAATATTTATTTACAGCTCTCTGGATTATATATTTAGTTGATTTTTTGTTGTTTTGGCTGTGCTAGGGATTGAACTGAGGGTTTTGTGCATGCTAGGCAAGTGCTCCTCCACAGAGCTAGATCCCTAGCCCACTCAATGTGTTGAATGCTAAGGTTCTATAGAATAAGGGTCTCAAGTACCAAAGGACCAAAATCAGAAATTATATTTTATTATTAAATAAACCACTAACGGGCACTTTAAAGCATCTACTTTGTATGAAATACTGAAGGGAAGATACAAATTAATATGAGCTCCCTACTCAAGTGTAGACGGCCTTGTGGAGACAGATGACCTCAAACTAAAATGTAATATGGTGACTAGAATGCAATACAGAGATTTAACTTTTCCATGCTCCAGACTTACTATTCCAAACTGCCAATGCTGATAAAAGCACTGTGCTCTACAGAGGCTGAGTTCATTACGAGGGTGTGGGACAAAGAGGAAGGCAAATACAACAAATCATTAACAGCCGTGGGATCCAAGAATGCATTAAAAGTTTCATAATAAAAAATGGGAAGAGAGAAAATTTTAAAGACTTTTTTTTCATTAGACTTATTTGTAGGCATGGTTAAACATTCTATTATTAAAAAACAAAATAAAACCTTACACTTTATTGAGGTATTGATACTAAATATATTTAAGATATATAATTTTTATATTTTCTAACTTTGTAGGAAGGAACCTCTTTGATCACTTATTAATTCTACAAGTTTTAAAAATTTTTTCTTCATATAATCATGATGTTTGCAAAGAATTAATTTTTTTACTTTCTTCCCAATCCTTAAATTTTTCATTTTATCTTACTGTAGTAGCTATAACTGCCAGTAAAATAATAAAATGAAAATGGTGATAGTGGCTGGGAACCTTTATCTCATTTCCAGTCTCAGAGAAACATATTACGGTTTCATCATGAAATACATTTCTCCAATCAAGTAATGTAACTTTTAAGGAAACTTTCTTTAAAGTAGTCTGTAACTTTCTTGTCTATATTTACTGCTGGAATGCTTCTATGCTAAGTAAAAATAACTAATGCAGTAAGCACAAAGATCAGTCTGAGACCAGTTGTGGTAGCACACTCCTGTCATTCCAGCACTAGAGAGGCTGAGGCAGGAGGATCCCTGGGAGTTTGAAGCCAGCCTGGTCTACATAGTGAGTTTAAGGCCAGTTTGAATTGAATTGTGAGACCTAATTTCAAAAACAATAAACAAATAAAAAAAGAAAGATCAGTCTAAGATCATTTCTAAAGAGATGTCTACATTGTGAGAGTCAGCTAAGTGAAAAAACAAGTGCCTGAGGCTGGACATGGTGACACATACGTGTAACCCCAGCCCTCAGGAGGCTGAGGCAGGAGGATCACTGAGATCAAGGCCAGCCTGGACTACAGCGTGAGAGCCTGTCACTACAAAATGAAACCCTGTCTCAATCCCACCCCCAAAAAAGTGCCTGATGAAATCAAATGTGTAGGAATGGGAAATCACCAAAGGTCAAGAGTAAATCTGCACCAGAATCATGTCACATGATGTTACTTTGAGGATAAAATTTAAGATACTACATAAAAGTATAAAATTAATATAAACATCCCAAAGATATAGCTATTATAAGCTATTATTTAGTAGGAGTTTTGTTAGGATGTGTAACTCTGCATGGCATTCAAGTAGAAGAAATCAAAGTAAATTACACAGCAATTACTATCTGCCTTTCCTTGAGGTAGCGCATAAAGGATACAGAAAATTTAAAGATGAAACAAGACTGCTACTACTATTTTCTTTGTGGAAAAGTACAGAATGGTTGAAACAATATTAAAACTGAAAAGGATTTAAAATTGGAAATTTAAATCCAATCTCTAGGGAGATTGTCACTACTTACTCGTTATCTTGTTCGTTTTAGACAGGGTCTCGCTGTGTAGTTCAGGCGATCTTAAACTCATGGAGATCTTCCTGCCCCAACCTCCTAAGTGCTAGAATTATAGGCATGTGGCCACCATGCTCAGCTGTCATTACTTATCATCCATGGTCCTGGTAGGTAATAGATGGTATAAACTTTGGTAAAAGAACTATACACAAAACTATGGACATAGTTTAAGAAAAACAACAAGGGAGGGGGTGGTGGTGGTACACACCTGTAATCCCAGCCCTTGGGAGGCTGAGGTAGAAGGACTGCTGCAAGTTCCAGGCCACCCTAGATTATACAGTGAGACCCTATCGCAAAAAACCCAGAAGAAAAGAAAAGAAAAGAAAAGAAAAGAAAAGAAAAGAAAAGAAAAGAAAAGAAAAATCAGCAAGGAATGAACAGTGCAGTATGTTAGCTAGAACAGCCTGGAGTTATCACCACTCATAAGCCTGAGGAGGCAGTGGAGGGACCAGTCATCAGAATCCAGAAAGGGTGCGGAGAGGGACAACTGAGAAGATACAGCTAACTCACAATAGTATGGCAGGGAGGGAGCTTCCCACCTTCCCAGCTCTTGCTGGTGCCTTCTACTGACCAAGCCCAACCAGAATATGAGGGGCAAGGAAGCCACTGATATAGTTCACACAGACTGGCCTCCCAGGACACAAAGCAGAGCAAAGGTAAAAAATACATCTACAAGGACAAAGAGAAGATACACAGAACAGTTATCAAAGTCATGAGAGGGAGGACCAGCACTTAGGTCCTGACTCCCGATTCAGTGCTCTTTTTCTGTTACACAAAGTAATCGATACTGATGTGTACACAATACGGAGGTGTGATGGAAGATACACGAAAGTAAGAAGACACGGCTCCCTATCCTTGAAATGCGGATATTGCTGAGATGAAACATACGCACATGAAATTATCAGTAAATATTTTAAAACAGAGCTGAAATGTAGGAAGATCAAGGATTATATTATGCTTCATCGCATGGTGGAGGGCAAACAGTAAATATGGGCTTCAATATTCAATGCTTGGCTTCCTGGGAAGAGCTTTCAAACTATCAAAGATTGACATACTAGAAAGCTACCCTAGGAGAAAAGAACTAACATTCAGTGAGTGTTTCTTATGTACCTGGTGCTTTACTAAATCATTTAACTGGAAACTATCGCTACTATTCCTGATTTTAAAATGAAGAGATTAAATTTCAGGAAATAAAGTTAAGTTTCTCCTGGTTAAACTACAAGCCATGGTATGTCTGATATACTCAAAGAGAGTGATCTTTATACCACTTCTATATACCAGAGAAGCACCTTACAGCAGAAGCTTTGGGAGGTTAGGAGATTAGTATTTAAGTTTCATAAACAACAAATTTGTTGTTAAACCTCAAGCAATTCATGCCACCCTCTCAGCGACTTTGCTGATCTGCTTAAACAAAATGGAGATTACAAGGCTAGCTTTTGTCTCTGAATGATCACACAGTGAAACTGAAGTGGAGGGGATGGGCCAACATATTAAATATTACTTATATTTGCATATGTACCTGTTTGAGAATTTTTATGCTGTACCACTTAACTCCGCAACCTCAGCATCTAGCCCAAGGTAACAACATATCCAATGAATATATAATAAAAAGAAAAATGAAGGATAAAGCAAAATAAAACACACTCTCCCTCCCACGCTTAGCTACAGACTGTATTCAGAGTAAGAATAAGAGACTAAACCACGACAGAAAGGAAATTTTTATTTTACAAATGAAAAGGCAAAATACTGCTGAACTGACCGTGAAGCGACACTCTGAATGCACACCTTACAGTTGAATTTTCCCAGTTCATTCATTAGTTCCACTGATACCTAAGTCTCTCTGTGGAAGTACCGATCCGATTTAACCATGATAACATTAATGGCTGGCAAGATTAAGCAAAAGAAGTGACAATATGTTTCAATTTCTTTTTCTTCTTGAAAACATACTCCATTGCCTTATGAATACTGAAGATTGTGTCCCAACCAAGAAGACTGAAAGCTGTAGGATACAAAATTGTAGAATGTACTTCTACCTTCACGCTGTGATATCCATGTCTCTTGGAGAGGTCTGGTTACACCAGAATATTCTTTGCAATAGCATTCAAAGTCCTTACTTTGGCCACATCTGTTACCTTTAGAGAATATTCTGAGTTAGAAAGTGAGGCTCCCATGGCAACAGAGGAATTTCTGTAGTAGACATAAGAAAAAGAACAGAAAATGAAGTTGCTAAGTGAGCCTTTCCTACTGGCACATTACAGGCTACCTCAAGAAAAAGGTAAGGCCAAGGTCTTTACCTGAAAGTAAAGTAGCTGAATCTAGCAGACAATATAATTGAATTTACAACTGAAAATGTAAATTCTAAGGTTCTTTCTCCTTTTACATCCCATTTTTCCCAATTTAGAAGGATTTAACTATTAAATTATAGGAATTCTATCAAGAATTTTTAAAATTATAGTTTCAATTCCTTAGTCGGGATATAATTTCCAAATAATCAGAAGTAGAGAGCAAGGGTGAGGGACAACTAATTAATCTGAGTGATGAGAGGGACACAAATTCCCATGACTCTTCCATCATTATATTACAGGTCTTAGCTTTGCAAAAGGAAAGCATAAGGGTAGGGGCACATGTGAGTGTCTGATTCGTCTAGAGCTCAGCTGCCGAATTCATTAACTGCAGAACTCAGACCTTCAGTTCCAACAGTTCACTGAAAACAAACTAAGTCTCTGTGTGGAAGAAGGAAGCAGGGGCCAGACAGAACCATGGTAAAGGCAATGGGTGGCGAGAATAAGCAAAGTCTATGTAAAAGTTTACCTTGGAACTTTCAGAAGTTCCTACTCATTTAATGCAAAACAAGGACCACTGTAGAAATGTTTTCAAATGCAAAAACTGACTACAATACTTATGCACTAATCATAAAACCTATTCATTAATCATGCTATCAACCAAAGCTTCCCTATTTGGAGAATAAACAATCTCATCCCTTCTTGTATGAGTCAAAGAATACGTTTTTACCGAAACTTCATTCCCGAGTCTCTAGAAGACCGAGCAGAACAATGAAATTCTGTAGCTCCCGAACCCTCAAGGATCCTTTGTAGATTTCTGTCTGTTATGCCACCTCCTAGTAAAAAGAACAAGTAGTACATTAAATGGAACAAAATCTTGCATAAAATATAGAGAACAATACTATTTACTGAAAATCTCCATTCTGAAATTTCTCAAAAAACTACTCTCCCACTACACTAGAATAAAAAATGAGAAAAGTAATAAATGATGTATACTGCAGATTCTAGAGAACTGCTAAGCTTAGAGCCTATATGGTAGAAGTTTCTTATATTTGTTAGTTTTATGGCAATGCTATACTGTATATTACTGATTTTAAAAAGACTGCTCTGTGGCAAGAAAAACCCTTCAATACTCCATCCTTGTTCTCCTTCAAGTTAAGCAAAATCAAATTAAAATGAAAGGCAAAGATAAGTTTGAGAACAGTGTAGAAATGCAACCTCAGAGAAGTGTCTGAGAGAATTTGTAAGGTTTTCTTCCTGGCTCAGGATTCCAAGAGTACACCTGACTTCACTGGAAATGGGAATAAGGCAAAATCTACCTAGTTTATCCATTACTGTACCAACTTTTTGTTTCCTTTCACAGAAGAATTTGATTCTACTTTATTAAAACCTTACAACCAAATACTTCAGTAACTGCTTTGCCATTGGTGCTATGATTAGTGGTACAGTCATACTGCTGAAACCTAAGAAGAAAGAACAGAGGCTGAGAGGTCAGATTTAGAACAGAATCCTGGCTTCAGCACCGTTGCTCTTCACAGCTGTGTGATCTTAGATAAATTATTTACATCCACTGAGCCTCAACTTTTTCACCAATAAAAGAGTAGAATAACACTGTCTACCTCACAAACTTGTAAAAATTAAGAGATAAGATAAACTGAGTGTGATGGCACATCCATAATCCTAGCATTTTAGGAGGCTGAGGCATGAGGATCAAAAGCATGAGCCCAACCTGGATGACTCAGCAAGACCCTGAATTTTTAAAAGGACTGGGATTTAGCTCAGTGTGAAGGCCCTGAGTTTAACCCCCAGAACCATCTATCAATCAACTGATTGATCAATCAATAAACAAGCACACATTATTGTCTTCTAAAAAATAAAACATCTGGACACTAAACAAATGTTACCATCAACTTTAATACACAGATAATACATTTGCCAAACATGGCTGACATAGCTTTCCAGTTAAAAGGAGCTTCAAAGAACTAGTCCAACATTCCTCTTTATAGATGGGCAAACTAGAGCCTAAATACAGAGTCTGCCAAAAAAATGTATACACACTTCATAAAAAGACAAGTAGTATAGTGTTTTTCTCCAGAGATGGTGTTATCCTTGTATAGGGGACCCTATAGAATGCTGTATGTCACAGAAAACCCACTACACTACCAGCCCTTACAGAAACTGAAAAGGCATGTGCAGCAATCTCAATGACCAAAGTTACCCAAGCAGCAGTCTGCCGTGTTAACAGAGCCTGGAAACTCATGGCCACCAGTTTGAGCACCTCTGTAATTGTAGTGGTCAAAGGTGCCTTGAAACAATCTCATGATGTCTCAATAAATTCAGTACTAAAATATTTAGAAAAGTTTTTCTTTTCCTGAGGAATGAATACATTTTCTTGGTGGACTCTATGTTGTAAGCTTCATCATGAAAAATCCTTAGACGCCAACTATTATGTTCTATTCATCTTTGTATTTCCCAATGATGAGTACTGACTAGGGGTTCAGATTAATTTATCTAGGAATCTTAATTTGCTAGTATTTATTTACATAAAGTCATAATCTGTTTACAATTCTATTCTTCAAACTCAAGTAGGATTACTTCATATTCATTCTATTTTTTACACCTATCATATTATCTACATACAATTATAATTGACATGTAATTAACATTCGCGTGGTAGGTTTGTTAAATAAAATAATTACACTTTCTTTGTATGTAACATCTTCTCACCTAAGACTTAGCTTCTTCAGGAAGTAGTTTCTTATATAACTGCATCCCAAGTGATGCTTTGCACAGGGCAGACAACTTACTAATTACGTATTCAGCAAAGGTCCTCTTAAAATGAACTATCTGAACTTGGGTCTTATTTGTCAAGACTTTAGCATTCCCTGATTATCTCAATCTGAGATAAAATATGTTATCTATTCATATTTCAGAACTTGCTATAGGTCAAAGACTTCCTAATACCTGACAGTACATTCCACTTGGCCTCTTTTATAAAGTTGTCTTTTATGTAGTTGTTAGCATTTTGAATACTTATCAGTCTTGACAGTACTAGTAGTGAAACGATTACAGATTGTCTTCTAATGTGATGTAAAGTATACATTCCCACTATTCTTGCCCAAACATTTAACCACAATCTAGTTGAACTTTTCACTCTATCTACCAGTTATAGGAAATACAGAGGCCAGAGGAATAAGCTAATTAGTATTAAAAAGAAAACCTGAAATATCCAAAAAGAAGGACATTATTTAAGTGAAGTGGTCCAAACTTTTTTGCTTCTATAATTAGGGATCAAAACTAGGGTACTCTACCACTGAGCTACTTCCCCAATCCTTCTTACTTTTTATTCTGAGGCAGGATCTTACTGAATTGTCCAGGTGTCCTCAACTCTGCAAAACTACTGCCTCAGCCTTCTAAGCAGCTAGGATTACATGTGTGTAACCATGCATGGCCAAACTTTTTAAATGGCACTTTTTTAAGAAAAAAAAATTTACATTAAAAAATATTAAGAAAGATAACTAAATGCAATGTTTTTTCCTTGATTCGATGTAACGTGCAGATACCAGCTATTTCAGGGACAACTGGAGAAAAATAGTATGGAACAGACACTAAATGGTATTTTTAAATTTATTTTAAAAATAAAAGGAAAACATTAACAAACAGACATCCATTTACAAAATAGCAGAACAATACAAGCAATACAGAGTTACAGACAAAGAGGTAGGAAATTAACAATGGTTGCTGTGTTACGTATTGGTATCTTCAAAGTGGTTTCTCAAGAAAACAAAGAGAGATATGCAAGACTGATCAAATAAGTAATCATTAATTGTTCCTTTCTGTAAAGCCATAGAAATCAGTGGTATAACTATGTTAGCTATCCTATATATACATACATACATAATTTCCCCTTCTTTCTTTTTCTCTTTTCCCTCACCCTGGTTGCTCTTGACTTTAGAGCATTTTCCTTTCATTTCAATGTCTGTCATACCTCCTAATTTTTATTCACTCTTGAAAGTTCTTATACTAGTGAAACAATACTTTGCTTACACATGAAGGTCTGGTTTATTTCGCTTATGAGTATGGTCTCTAGTTGTGACCATTTACCTGTAAAAGCCTTGAGTTTATCTTTCTTTACCGCTGGGTAAGACTCCACTACATAAAAGAGCCACAATTTTTTTATCCATTCCTCAGTGGATGGACATTTGGGTTGCTTCCACATTTTAGCAATTACAAATTGTGCTGGTATAAAAATGGGTGCACATATATTGCTGTGATGTTTTCAGATCTTTTGGGAAAATACCCGGAAGGAGAACAGCTGAGTGAATGGGATCTCTACACCTAGTTTGCTGAGGAAACTCCAAACTGATTTCCACAGTGGTTTCACCAGGCTGCATTCCCACCAGCAGTGGAGAAGACTTCCTATCTCTCTACAACCTTGCCAGCATTTGTAATTGGTTGATTTCTTAATGCTAGCTATTCTTAGTGGGATGAGATGAAACCTCAATGTTATTTTAATTTGCATTTCTCAAATGACTAATGATGTTGAACATTTTCTCATGTATTTATTTGCCATTTGTATTTCTTTATGAGAAGTGTGTAGTCATCTCAGATGCCCATTTTTGGATTGGGTCTTTAAATTTGGGGGGGGGCTGATGTTTTTTAATTCTTTAAATATTCCACATAAGCCATCTATGACAGTCCAACAGCTAACATCATTCTCAATGGACAAAAACTGAAAGGTTTTACTTTAAAATCGGGAACAAGACAAGGATGTCCGCTGT